TATATATATATATATATATAAATTAGGATAATTTGATCTTTAATTTAAGTGCAACCAAACATTTTCTCCCTCCATTTTTCTCAAATTGGAGAAAAACCCAAAAGCATGGCTCTTCCGTGTTATCAATGAACCAATAATCAAAGTAAAAAAAGAAGGGGGGGGGGGGGGGGGGGTGGGGGGGGAGTATATTTTTCATCTTTTTCTTTCTTCCTCTTCCCTTCTCTCCTTTTCACTTCCGTCAAACATAGTATTAGGTAATAAGGTCATTAGTGGAGCATTCAAATGTGCTTCCAACCCCATCCCAAAACATGGAACCTACGTAGCTTGCAAATGAATATTGGGTTGTAAAATAAATCTTTCATTTTGGTGATAAGCCGGGTAAAAGAAAAAGAGAAATAAGAGAGTAAAAAAAATTATAAAAAAAAAATAATCAAGATAGAAAATAATAAATATAATAAAAGATGTGATGAGAAAAAAAGATAAACAAAAAAAGTAAAAATAATATGATGTAAAATAACCCCTATCGTTTTTGTTGTATATAAACAACGTATATTTTTACAAGCACATAAGATGGACATAAAGCTATCTAGGTCACATACTTGGAGTCCCATAGCCATCAGATGTACTATAAAAGGTTGCTCTGGATTTAGTATATTCGCAGTAACAAAGTGAAGGAAAGAGCAATAGGACACAAACAAGGCCAAGTTGGTGCTTAAAACTAAGCTCCATGTCTAAATGACAAATGAACTCACAACCTAAGATAGGAGAGAAATGAGATAAACTAAAGTATACGAAAATGAGATGGAAGAAGGCTTTATGAGATATGAAAGAAAGATATAGGGTCATATATTTATAGTGCAAGCTTTCGTCTATAGATACATGAACCCCACTTTTTTCCACCTTGGGTCCTTGGAGGATTGGAATGATGATGTATACATATAACCAGTCATATACCATTGGATGAGCAAGATAATATAATATAATTAACAATTGATTCATAATTACTTAACTACATATGCAAAAAAGCCTGACTTCTTTAAACCGTTACGTTTTACTGGTGCACAACACAGAAAATATTATAATAAAATTATTATTACCATGCTTTCCCTTACTTCTTTTGCTGTGCATTGTTATCAATTAAATTAAATGATTTCAGGTCTAGGGTGAATTCCCGAAAATACTTTTAATGGCAAAATTCTATGCATCATCGTTTTTTACACCATTCTACGTATCATTTATTTAACCTTCTAATAATGAAATTGTTTCTAAATAACCACAAGATTATGGCAGTAAGTTGGGGTAATTAACCGATTATGACAATTTGCATTTTGATACATAATTTAAACATTTGGCAATATTTGAATTAAGTTTGGATGGTTGAAATTTGAAAATGATTTTGACTTCGTCATCCATTTTCTAACTCCCTACTTCTTATATAGTTATATGTAAAAGTAAAAATGCGCGTATTCCCTCAACTAGACAACGACTCTTTCGTTTTGAGTTAGGTAAATTTTATATTAGACGCAATCTATTTGGTACCTTAAAAAAAAATTATGCACGCTTGGAAAATGTTGCCATATCTACTGACGTGGTTCTGGTTGAATGATATGAGATTGGTTTTCTCATTTTCTAAATCGGACCAAGATTTGGCTTGTGGATAATGTTGAGGAAGGAGAACAATACACTCTTTAATATTTAAATGCCTTTTATCATTCATTATTTTGTGAAATTCTGCTAAATTATTCATCTTAGTGCATTTTTATTTTTATTATTGGTGTTATATATACTTTATCTTCAATTTTTTTTTAAATTTGATAAAAAAATACTGAGAGGAGATAATTCTAATGTAGCTAAAAAAAATTAAAAAAAGAAGAAGAAGAAACTTTATTAGTTAATGAAGTCGTAAACGTTGAAAAGAAAATATATAAATAAAGTAAATTATTAGTATTATTTTAACAACCTTTGAATTGACCCACTACGCGTAGTAGTTTTAGTTTTATTTTGTTAAACCAACGGTCTGATGCTATTAATCGTGGAGACTCGAGAATGTTCGTTTGTTGGGTCAAAATAAAGATAAGTGTAAGCAACAAATTTCATATCATTATTCTTTTTATACTTTCTCTTTTATTTGGACAAATTTATTTTATTAAATATGTCAGTTTCATTTTCAATTTTGTGGTTCTCATTTTCAAATTAATGAGATAAACATAAACCGGCTTTAGTAAAAAGAGATATTGTATTAAAAAGATATATATATATATATATATATATATAT